GTCTGTCTGGCCGGAGCCCCAGCCTCTCCCCTCGCCAAACCGGCTCAGATAAGGAGCACAAAGCCTCGATTTTCACTTGCCGAGGAGCTCTCATGTGACGCCGCCACCAGCCCAGCCCCATGTGATGAGGGCAGGGCATAAAGAACCCTTTGCTGCTGAGTGCCACTGCGGGGAAGAATCAGCTTTTTGTGTTTCTTTAGGACACAAACAAACCCTGGAGGAGAATTCCCACCAGCAACAGCAGGGTTCTTCATGGGACAGGGTGGGTGACAGCAGCTGGGACCGCTCTGGGGTCTCCTTCCCAAAGGAGAAGGGAACAGGACGGAGCTTTGAGAGGATCTAAAGCTTCAAAGCACATTAAGGATGAAGGGTGTTTGTATTTTCCACGCACACAACAGCTGATAGCCGCCCTGGTTTCACTTGCCAGGGTTGGTTTATGAGAGTGAAGCTCAGGGCAGTGCCCTGGATCTCATCCTGGAGATTCAGGATAGGTGAGCTCCCAATCCAGAGCCACCCTCTAATTAATTACTGGGATGAGAAACAGGAATGACATTCCAAAGGCTGCACAGGGCAGACCCAAAATAAATCACACTTGTTTCCCCACATTTAGGCTACAAGGAAGGTCTCCCCAAAGGGTAAAAAGTCCATCAACTTAATTATTTGTTATGTTTGCTCTTCCACCTGCAGGTACAGGTGTTGTATTCAACCTGCACCACGACCTCAGGCATCACCCACAATCTAATTTCCTTTACACTGTTATGCAAAAAAAAAAGGGGAAACTCACAGGAGAACTGTCCTGAGAGGCCATTCTGAAAACTGAGGTTCTCCAAGGATTGCACCTCTGCTGTGAGGACAGGCTGAGAGAGTTGGGGCTGTTCAGCCTGGAGAAGAGAAGGCTCCAGGGAGATCTTATAGCGGCCTCCCAGTACCTGAAGGGGCTCCAGGAAGGCTGGGGGGGGACTTTTCATAAGGGCAGTTAATGACAAAACAAGGGGAAATGGGTTTAAGCTGAAAGAGGGGAGGTTTAAATGAGAAGAAGTTCTTCACTGTGAGGGTGGTGAGACAGTGTCCCAGGTTGGCCAGAGAAGCTGTGGCTGCTCCTCCCTGGAAGTGTTGAAGGCCAGGCTGGATGAGGCTTTGAGCAACCTGGTCTAGTGGAAGGTGTCCCTGCTGCTGGCAGGGGGGTTGGGACTGGATGAGCTTTAAGGTCCCTTCCAACCCAAACCATTCTATGATTCTATGATCTTCCAGCCATACAAGACCTGCCTTCCCTTCCTGCATCTGTCTGGCAACAGCAAGAGAGGAAGAAATAACTAACAGGATGGGTATTTTCCCTTCCTGGCATCAATTTGCTGCGTGTTGGGCTTTGCCAAGGGGTGAAACACCCGCTGGAATCCAGCAGACAATCTCTAGCGCTGAACCAAGAGGAAAATTATTCATTTCAGTCAAATCCAACCCTGGAAATGGTCAGGAATCCCCTCCCAGCAGCAGCAGCAGCAGAGGCCACGTCTGTCTCTTCCCCAGCAAACGTTGTTTTGTTGAGGGTGAAATTGTAATTTCTCAGAACAGGACAGAGCTGAGCAGCCCTCGGCGCCTGGCAGCGCTGGGGGGGTGGCAGCCAGCGAGCACCAGCCCCTGACACTGCACAGACCACACAGGCATGGTTTGGGGGGAAAATAATTTGCTAATCTCAGCTTATTCCCTTATCAGATTGATCTTCAATTCTCAGATGTTGTTTTAAGGATGAGGGTTTGAGATGTCAGCTGGAGGAGGAGAAATAAAGCGACAAGGAGGGAGAAATGAAAGGAACAAGGAGGGAGAAATGAAAGGAACAAGGAGGGAGAAATGAAAGGAACAAGGAGGAAAAATAAAAGGAACAAGGAGGAAAAATAAAAGGAACAAGGAGGAAAAATAAAAGGAACAAGGAGGAAAAATAAAAGGAACAAGGAGGAAAAATAAAAGGAACAAGGAGGAAAAATAAAAGGAACAAGGAGGAAAAATAAAAGGAACAAGGAGGAAAAATAAAAGGAACAAGGAGGAAAAATAAAAGGAACAAGGAGGAAAAATAAAAGGAACAAGGAGGAAAAATAAAAGGAACAAGGAGGAAAAATAAAAGGAACAAGGAGGAAAAACTAAAGGAACAAGGAAAGAGGGAGAAATTAAAGCAACAAGGAAAAATAAAGTGACAAGAAGGAGAAATTAAAGCAACAAGCCCTGTGAAGTGGATGAGCAGAGGTTTGCTGATCAAAAATGAGATTATTCTCACAATTAAGTGGTACCTGCACAACTGAACAGGTAAGGGGCTGTCACGTTAGCCTCAGATCTGCTCCCACGCGGTGGGCTCGGGTCTGTCACAGCGGTTACGGGTGTTTCCAGGCTCTCACTGGACAGAAATAGAAACCCCACCAGCCTGGTGATGGATTTGTACCCTGGGAAGGAGTCAGAGCCTCAGGGAAATAATTACAAACAAAAACTGCTGGAGAAAAAGAGAGGAGAGAGGGGGAGAGAGAGAGAGAACACAACAAACGGGTACGAGGAAATCCAAAATCCAATGTTTTTCAAGACTTGTCTGAAATTAAACCCAGATCACCACGAGAGGGAGACTTGTGACTGTCACAGCAGCGAGGACAGTGGCACTGTACAAGCCTGGCAGCTTCACCCTGCATTTCAGCAGATGTTCCCCTCATCTGCCCCCTATTTCAGCTCTAAACAGTCCCATTCCCTCCCCCCCCCTCAGATCTCCACGATGATGAACTCGGGATAGAGTAACAAAATGATTTATTCTCATTTCCTCTTATTGCAGAGATCAGTTATGTACAGAAACTGTAAAAAAACCTTAAGAGCCTTCTAAAGAAGAGCAATTAACAGATGCTGCTGGAAAATAAAATCACAGGTACTGGAAGGAACTGGGAGTCAGTTCACTTTGACTGGGGTGGGGGGAATGAGCCTTGGAGGGAGTCTCTCTCCTTTTCAAATATCCTTGATGACCTCTTCAAGCTCCTCTTTTGTGTACATGTGGAACTTCATCCCAGGCTCCACTGTGGCAAGCTGAAAGAGAAGGAGCCAAGGGGTTAAATGTGTGTGTATGTGAAGTGACAGCAGAGGGGCAGGGAACAGAGAGCTGAGCAGCAGAGGAGCAGCTGTTCCTTCTGGGCTCCCTGATCTGCCAGCCCAGCAAGATCATTCCACCCCCTAACGTGCTCTTTGATTCCCTAAAATAGCTGCCAGCAGCAGAAATAGCTTTTAATTGACTCAGTCTCCTCACAGTAGCAGCAGCAGGGAATGTCTGTTGGGAACAGGCAGGCTCTGCTTGGGCTTACTGGGGAAAAGAGACCCTGGTAATACAAGTCCTTCCTCAAACACTCCTCAGAGAGGGGTGGTTCTTGCTGCAGTTCAGTGTGGCCCTCAGAAGTGCCTCCAGTAACCACCCCAGGGTACAAATCCCAGCCTGTTATGTGCCTTATGAGAAGCAAGAGAGCAAAACACTCACGAGGGGACTGAGGGTTAAGCTTTGGGAAACTGAGGCAGGGGGGCAAGCCTGCATTTTGATACAAACACTGACAATAAACAAACCACAGTGCACCCTGCAGCTGCCTGGTGCTTTGTACAAGCACACCAAAGAGATCTCCCCCGAGGAAAAACCCAAGGGACAAAGCTGGGGGACAACACACTCTGCTCTGCCCCTTTGCCAGGAGCAGAGGAAAGCAGCAGACAGCTGAGACGTTTCAAGGGGACGAGCAGCAGAACAGGAGATACTTGAAGAACAACAAGACTGGAAGAGGAATGTAAGCAGGACTTTCATTTGCACCTTGCTCAGGGCATGAGAGCCCGAGATACAGACAGCTGGTGTGGATGGGCAAGGCCAGAAAGCTGCAGGAGGTAGCTGGGATGCTCCAGACGTGGCTCACAGGCGCTCCTGGCACTGGGCACACACATCTTTATTCTTGAGAGATCAAAGCATTTGGTTGCAATAAGTTGCAGGAAAGCTACAGAGGGTGCTGACAAATCCCTGAGCTCTTCCCGAGGCTTCTCTGCTTGCAAGGTCACCCATAAAACACCATGAGGTGGTGGGACATGTTTTTGGTGTAGCCCATAAGACTTTTTCAAGGAGGAATGTCCCAAATATTCAGCTTGAGAGCCCTGACAGCCCAGGTTTTATCTGGCATTCTCAAAACAAGTCAGACACACTCACAGGTGCCATTTTAGGGCCCCTCAAATCACCTGCATGGGCACTGGCCTGACACTAGACCCAAGAAGACTCAAAACACACACATACACACCCTGAAACCCAAAACAATCATCCAGAGACACCAGCTGCTCTGCTTTTCCATCTCCTCAAACCTGGGCCACACCTCCTCCCTACAAACAAAAGCTTTCCTCAACTCTTCCCTTCCAGGCTTCACAGGGAAGTAATTAATTTAAAAGCCTAACATTGTTTAAGGCTCCTGACCTTTGTGCCTTCAACAGATTTAACTCTTCCCTGACCAAGCTTCACCCTTTCTCCTTGCTGCCAGATGGAAAATGCCAGCACACAAGAGCAGGGAGTGGCCGGAGTAAATAAACCAGAGCACCACATAGTTCTGACATGGATAAAAAGCAAAGCAGCTCCTTCAGGTAGAAGGTTTTTCAGCCAAGAAGAGTGACTTGAGTCAATAGAAACCTTTTTAATCCTCAGCACATTATTCTCATACTTAACCCTGATAGGATTCCTCAGCACGTCCAGGGCTTTGCCAAGCACAGTTAAGCCCTGTTAAACAGGGACATAAGGATACTGTACACGTCCCTCTGCCTCCAGATCTCTGCACTGTACTGTGGATCTTCCAGGAGAGAATTGAAGCTGATCAAGAGAGAACTGATCAGTGCAGGTTGGGAGTGGATCTGAGAAGCAGATTTCAGCTTTCCAGACAAAGCAGCTAAGTTTCCAGTGTGTTATTGGCCCTTTCCTCCCCCAAAGGAAGCTGGTTAATTGTGTCAGGAAGGTTCCTCAGCAGCAGTAATTAATTAAAAAATACTGGGGTGCACACTTTTAGGTTGTTTAGGAACCAGGTTCCTAGTGCTCAAGGGAAAGGAACAGGAGGAGAGCAGCTCAGGAGTGGGAATGACATGATTTGAAAAGGTCTAGTGTCTCATAACCCGCCAGAAATAGAAGCAAACTCTATACTCCAGCCTTGCTCATCATCTATCCATTATCACCAGCAAACTGGAAGGGTTTTTACCTTTGCTGCCTAACAAGGAGCATTACAAGTCTCAGAAGGAGGGTTTAAGGGGACAGGTACCACTAGGTTTGTGGGGATCTCCAAGAGCACTGCATGCTCGGGGCGAGGGGAGCTCTGTGAGCGTGGCCACTCACGGGCAAAAGCTGGAGGTTAGAGGAGCAGATTCGTTCCTGGGTGGTTCTCCTGTCCAGCAGATTTTTGGCCCTGACTCAAGACTGAATATAGCAAGTCCAGAAGCTGTATAATTTTCATTCCTTCTAATATTACAAGTACCAGGGAAAAAAAGAATGGCTAAAGCCAGGGGAAGAAAAAGCGATCTGGCTGGCACGACAGGATCCTGCTGGCTGACTCAATCCGTGGAAGGTCAGCGGGGGGCTCCAGCCCCACATCCAGGGAGCCCCACAAGAATCATTTCCACCAGCACCAGTGGATCAGAGAGGCAAAGGGGCCAGGCTGCACACCTCCAGAAATCAAAAGAGAGCTCCAACCTTTCCAGTGTGCCACACACGACACGCTACAACGCGCTGGTTCAAGTCAGAAGAACATCTGCAGCCAGGCAACCCTTGGCTTGGGAAGCTCTGAACTGCTCCACCAACTCATTCCTTGCTCTAGAAGCAGAAACAACCCTTCTCTCCAGACAGCAAGCGAGCAGCTTTCTCACCTGGATCTTTAAAATGCAAGAGACTACGGAGAGGCTCACCCACAGGATTTACACCACGGAAGCAAAGACCAGAGGCAGCACAGACCTCTGCTCCACAAGCCACAGTCAGGGAGTGCTGGTGGTTACCTCAATGTTGGTGGCATTCAGTTTCTCCTCCATCACTTGTTTCAAGATGACCAGGGAAGATTTGATGGCTTCTTTCAGTGTCATTGACTGTAAAAACAAACCACTGGTTAATTGCACTCAAGCCACCACGTGTGGGATCCCCCTGGGACCGCGCCGCTCTCCCTCCCTCCCGCTCCCCTCAAATCCTTTAAGCTGTCACTGGCAGCAAATTTAAAAGCTTATCAAGTTATCTAACAGCATCAACAAGAGATCAAAGCTCAGTGTTCAGTGACAATCGTGAGGATGGTGACTTTCTGCTTCTGTGGAACTTGGTAAAAAGTTTAAGAACTGTTAATCTGGGCACATAATCCTTTACTGTCAGCGTCGGGCACGGGGGTCTGTTGCCCTTCACCAGTTACTGTCTATCAAGTAATAATTCCACCCCCTCCTCAACAAACCCCAGTGGGAGCTCTGAAAAGCCAGACTCTCCTCTTGGCCTTGGTGCTTTTATCACAGAAATGGTTGTGTGAGGAGGGAATTAAGAGCCAGAGGGTTGGGCAACATCCAAAGAGTGACCATAGCTGTGTCTGCAGTAACTCTGCACTTGGATGATGGAGAACAAGCCACAGGGCTCAAAACTTGGGAAATTTTGCTAGGGAGCAAAATTATACTTTATATAATTTATATATTATAAATTATATAAAGTATAAAATATATAAAGGGAACCTTTATATTAGGTTTTTGAGTTTTAGGCTGGAAACCTTCACAGTAATCAACACCAGCAACTGTGCTTTTCGTGACAGTGTCTGATTTCTTATCACACGAGGTGGGCAGCTCCCTCCTTGTGGGGGGGAAGACAGTTTCTATTTGATATCAAACAGGACCAGCATTTGCAGTGGAAAAGCCATGAACTTCCCTGGCTTAAGGGATCTGCTGAAATGAAGCCGCTTGCTCCTCACGCAAGAAAGCTGGGGAAGGACTTTTCCTAAGGGCAGTTAGTGACAAAACAAGGGGAAATGGGTTTAAGCTGAAAGAGGGGAGGTTTAGATGAGATATTAGGAAGAAGTTCTTCACTGTGAGGGTGGTCAGACACTGGAACAGGTTGCCCAAGGAAGCTGTGGCTGCTCCTCCCTGGAAGTGTTCTCGGCCAGGCTGGATGAGGCTTTGAGCAACCTGGTCTAGTGGAAGGTGTCCCTGCTGCTGGCAGGGGGGTTGGGACTGGATGAGCTTTAAGGTCCCTTCCAATCCAAACCATTCTATGATTCAGGCTGCATCCATCCTGAGCCCTGATGCTGACCAGCAGTGTTCATAGAGCAGATCTTTTATTTATAGAGTAGTTCCTGACATGGTGTTAATTATCACCCCCGCTAAAGGCAGAGACCAGCATCTCAGACATGTCTCATGTTCCATGAAACCACCTCAGCCCAGTGGGAAGCTGCTGGTTGTAGTACTCCTCCTCGTAGAGATCCTCAGCACTGACATCTAATCAGGGGATCAACTGCCAAGGACCAAGTCCCACCCTGAGCAGCTCACGCAGCACCTCCTCTACGGCGCAAGAAGAGTCTTATGAATCACTCATCAGGAAGGGAACTGGGGGATCCTTGGAGGTTGTGAGGTACCTCGTGAAACATCACCCCCAATCCAGTCTTTTACCTTGTGGTAAACCTCTTGCAGAGAGCTCTGTGCACCTTCCGAGGCGGAGCCGATGGCTCTGGCATCGCACTGAACAAACGTTCCCGACGGGTCCATGTGAAACCTGTGGGAACACGTGTGACAGTGAACAGTCACCTCACCCCATCCCACCCCACAGCACCCCAGGGGCTCTCCCATCAGACCCAGATCCCTCTCCAGAGCTCCCTGCACAGGAGCTGGGGAAGAACAAGGGCTCCTCAAGAGCGACAGCTCGTCTGCCGAGGCAGGGCAGAGCTCCAGCCTCCTCCCTTGCACCCAGCAGCCTCGGGGCACTGCTGTGATCAGGGCAGCAGCAGGTCTCTCCTCCTGGCATGCAGAGGAGCAGACCAAGGTCTGATAAGTGCCAGAAAGTCACCTGCAGAGCCACGCTGGGCTGCTAAGCTAGGAGAGCTGCCCACTCCTGACACCGCCCTCCACACTCAGAGCAGAATCATTTTCCTTTCTATTCCCCCCCCCTTATCTTTTTATTTTTTAATAAAACCAAGTTTCCATTATTGCTCTTGGAAGGGAAACTTTACTGGGCTGGCTCTGCTGAGCTGTTCCCATCTCCAGCAGAGGCTGAGTGTTTGAAGCACATGAGTTCAGGTTACAAGCACTCCACCACCTCCCCAAGGAATGTTACAGCAGGCTCCACATATTATGTTACCAGTGGCTCTGCTAGTCCTGTAGAAAAAAAATAAGAATAAACCCAGGCTGAGGAGAGCTTTAACACCTCCCTCCTGCTCAGGAAACCACAGTTCAAAAGCAAAGATTCAGGTGTTGTCTTCTACCCCAGCAAACTGTGCTTTGAAAGGAAGGGTTTCAAAGCATTAACAAACACATCAGGTACATCATGGGATAAACTCCAAGTGTTTGGCTTAAGTAAAAAAAAAAAATCCCAGAATGAAAGAATTAAAATGTCCTGCCAAGTTCCAGTAGAGGTTTTGTCTCTTCCCAGAGCTGATTTGGATTAAGAGAATCAAACTTACAGCTGAGGTCCCTTCTCATCAACTCCTCCAAAAAGCAGCGCGACACCAAACGGACGAGACTGGGACAGAAAAGAGCCAACAGGTTAAGTGAGGCCGGGGGGAAAGTGCCAGGGGAGCTGACAGCACCTCCCCAGAAACCCCCCAATCCCCCCCCAGCTCCTCACCATCGCCCCTGGGTCTGCATCCTCCTCCCCAAACTGCAGTGCCAGGTTGGACACGGCCTGTGTCACGCTCTCCACTGTCATGGTTTCGTTGTAAGTGAACCAGTGATTCTGCAGGATAAAAATAAAATAAAGAGATTCATTTTTATCACCTCCTTCTCAAAATACAACAATCCTGGATCAGTCACCTGGCAGGATGGAGTGATGCCCTGCACAGCCACAAAGACAACTCCCTCCAGCACCTCCAGGCACGTGGGGTACAGACTGTTCAAATGGAAGAGGGAAGCACCAGGAAGAGTGGGGAGCACAGAACAAGCTGGGAAGGTCGTGCAGGGATCCCCCAGAAACCCTGGGATACCAACAGGGAAAATGCAAGGCCAGAGCCATTGATCCCAGTATCTGTTTCTGAAGTGATGGGGTTATCTGGTTCTCCGGGGGCAGGAGGAGTGCTGACATGCAGGACAAAGTCTTTACTGCAGTGTGGAGATTTGTACCTGGGACCTCTGAGTACCTGAGGCATCGAGGACATTTAAAGGGTCAAAAATATAACCAATATAACCAGCCTTTTGCCCAAACAAAGTCAGACACACGGTGTCACACATTCACCTGAGCACACCTGCCAGGGCTGAGAGCCCACTGGAGAACCTGCTGGCAGATTCCCACCAAACAAGGAGAAAATTCCAGGGAGACTCCACCTGTGTGTCCTGTAAAAACCCTGTGAGGGAAACTACACACCCCCCACCAGCCTCCCACCCCCCACCAGCTCCTTTGCTCCACAATCTTCCTGTGCCAGAGACTTCCCTCAAGACCAGTGCTGCTCTTTTAAGAAGAGCAATGTCACGTCTTACCTGAGTCTCCACTCTTGCTTTATCAATTAAAGTCTTGGCATCAGCTATTAAGCCACTCATGGCACACCCTGGAATCAAGAGAGGGAAACCACGAGTCATTTCACTGATTCTTTGCAATGCACAATCCCAGAGCCCACAAAATATTGGACAGAAACACCAAAGGCTGCAGGGCAGGGAGCACCCAGCAGCTCGCTGGAGAGGAAGGAGGATGGGATCAAAAGGGATTTGCTCCAGAGTGAGGATGGACACTCAGCTGAGGGGCAGGTACAGCTCTGAGTTCTCCCACTCACCCCAAATCTGAACTGGTGAAAGGAGCCACGTTTGAGGCCTTTCAAGAGAAGTTAAATGATGGAAACACAACCTGCTTGGGAGGGGAATTCATTCATCCCCTCCATGGGGAGGGCTGGCTAAAGCTAAACCATAACTGGGGAGGACACAGCAGGAGCCTCCAACACAGATCCTGCTCCAGGAAAAGAGGGGCTGTATCACCAGCACAAGGCAGGAGGAAATTAGACTCTTCCAAGAGTTCCTTCCATGACCCATGTCATCAGCAACACGGGTATTTTGGGGGTCTCCTGCTTTTCAAGGCGACATATTTGGTAATGAGCCCATCTCGGGTCCCCTCACAGCGCAGGAGGCTGCTGTGAGCAGGGGCACAGGCTGACATTGGTGCTCCCAGAGAAACTGGCCTCCACTCAAACCTTTTGCAGCAATTCCCTGCCCTCCCAGATCTAAATTTGGGATGAGCTTTCATGAGGGAGGTCATTGAGATGGGGGCAGAGGGGGGGGAGTGCTACAGCTGCCTCTTCCTGCTCCTGTAACTATGTCCTGCTGGACTGCAGCCTGGAAAACCAGTGAGCAGGACCTGGTGTTCACTGGGAGGGATGAGCGTTCCCGCTCGGCTCAACAGAGCTGCTGGCAGGGAAAGTGAGCCCTGAAATGCAGCTTCTGAAACTCCCAGGGGACAGACTTCTTATATATAATATAATATAGGAAGGGTCTGGAGCACAAGTGTGCTGAGT